GTTCAAGGGGACATTGATTATTTGGCTTCCAACATGGAGGTACGATATGATGTCCTTGATAATTTGGCCTCTGAGTTAACTTTCCTGTCGCAAATAACCCTGACGAACAAAGGACAAGTCCCTATCAAGCACGGCGACTGGGTCGTGTACTTCTGTAATATCAGACTCATGGAATCGAAGCATCTGAAGCATAACCCCGCAGGATACGTTATCCCTGGAAATTATGGGATCCGTCTGACCCATATCAATGGTTGCCTCCACAAGTTTGAAACCACAAGTGATTTCAAAGACATTGCTGCTGGTGCTTCTTTGACGTTTAAGTTCAAGGCTGATCATTGGTCCGTTGCTCGAACTGACGTCATGCCAAGGTGGTACGTCACGGCAAAAGGGTTGACCCCTCGAGTCATAAACAATACTGATGATGAAGAGCTTACATTTGTAGGAAATTTTGACACCAAAGAAAAATGGAAGCGTTTTGTCAAAGATTTGTACAATCCATACACCCCTGAGGATCGCTACGTCAAATACTTTATGTCAGATTTAGAGACAGCGGCAACTAAAGTCATCCCCACCCCAGTGGATATGAATATTGATACACAGTATCACGTGGTTGTTACGTCAGATTGGTTAATAAACGTTGATGCTGGACTAGAAAAAGAAGCTGCTCTATTGAAAGGTATCATAAAGAAATAATCATTTTTTGAGAAAAGTTATCACGTTCTTTATCACATTCATTCCCAAAAGACCTTTCCTAGAGAGAGCGTTGCAAATGCGCTGATTATCTTGCAAATTGTCTCAAAAATGCAGTGACACGTACAGCTCATACACAGAAAAAACTGAAACGGCATTGGAGTGTGCCTTCGCCTGAGTACGAGGGCAAACTTGCTCTGACGTTATGTTTAGGGAAGGCCCATTAGCGCAAAAAGAAGGTGGCGGTTTTGAAAAAAAAAAGCGGGCCGGATGAAACGGGGAAAACAATTTTCTCAAAGGTTCATAGCACTTTAAAAATAAACAAGATAGCCGAAAAAGCGGTAGGTCTGGGCTAAACGTGCCTCATCTTCCTGAACTTGCTTGCTGTCAATAGGCTACCTGTTGTGAGTGACGACTGAGCTGTTTTAGGCAAGACAAATGATTTTTATGAAGCACAGGGAGTATTTTTTTATTTTAAAACAGACAAACTTGGGATTACAGTAACCTCGACACCACAAAAAAGTAAAGTTATCAAGCTCATGATGGGCGACGTTTCTGTGCCTGGCAAGAGCGGTCAGCAGTTTCCAAGTGCGCATGAGTCGTACAGCCTTGAAGTTGACGCTGACAAGAATGCCATCACCATCACAGGTCAGTCTCTACCCGTGATCCTCTCTGAAAAAATAAAACGTCACTCTTTCTGGCGTGTTCCTTGTTGATTTTTAAGCCCGCTATGTTCTATGGAAGTTTGATCAGAGTGCCAGTGTCAAGGATACGCAGAATTTAAATTAGAAAGAGCCTTCCTATATTGTGGTATCGATCTAAAATCCGTTAATGTGCGTTTACTGAAACAGTTCAGCGATTGAGTTGCAATAGGCATTGATCACCCAAACTGTGTTGCCCATGCGTGGCTTTGCACAAATTTTGACTAAGGTCACTCATCAGATTATGCGTCGAACATCATTTTATTGGTACACAATTTTTATCTTTCTTTACTTCTAAAAATGTGTTGAATTTTAACCCCAGGTAAGGGTCCTTCAGGTGTATTCTATGGAGTGCAGACTCTTCTTGGAATAAGGACCTCCGAAGGCAAAGTCCCCAAACTGACAATCAGGGACACTCCGAGGTATGGGTACCGAGGAATGCACCTTGATGTGGCACGCAA